TGTTGTAAGTACTGTGGGGCACACATACTGGGGAAGAAATGAACAGTTCCCAACTCCAGGCTGTTATTTATCAGTTGTTGTTAGTTCTAACTCCAGTCAGATGTGTGCAGCTAAGGGCAGTGTCTGTTCTTGTAGTCTGAACTGATAAATCTGTACAGCACAGTGCCTTTCCTGTTGTCCTGGAATTTAAGTTCGTTATTTGATCTTTGCTCATCACAAATTAGCCTTGCTCTGTGTGAATTTAAATCAATGACTAAAAGGAACGGACTGCTTATAAATTAGTTGCTGCAACATGCAGTAAGTGCTCGACAGGCAAGGCCTCAACGGAGCTAAGAGCAGGGTCTTTTTCATTTCGTTGCACGCTTTCTAAACACATGTGGTACCAGGGTGAAATAATTCTCTTTTTTTAAAAAAAATCCTTTTCAGTGTCGAAGCAGCTTTCTAGTGCTGGCATACACTTCAGCCTGCTGGAGAGCGTCCTAACGTGCAAAGGGAGAAGAGCAGAGAGAATGGGGGAAGAGAGAGCCCAGGGGTCTGGTGTGTAACCTCAGCTCTGTTACCGACCAGCACACATTCAACACTTGACTTTTTCTCTGTGTGTGCCTTGAATTGTCCTTCCATAAATTAATGATAGAAACCAATTGGAATTCCTTTTTAGACCTTTTATAAGGTTTTCGTTAAAAATAAATAGAGAATTTTGTTTGAGGAATTCCTTATCACTCTCATAAACATGCTTGTTCACTATTAGAAATTCCATGTTATCTCCTAAAAATTTTCTGAAGCACTGTCTCTAAAAGAAAGTGAAATAAATAAAATCCAAGATTTTAGTCTTCCTCAAGAAGAATTAATACTATTAGACCCCCTTAGACTCTATTTGAAGTAAAAGTAATGACAACAAGGTTTAGTCATTATATTTATAAAATGTCATTATATATTTCATATGAGATATATACATTTTTATTATATGTATTACTTCATACTAATTTGGGGTTTTTCATTTTAGGACCTTTGGCCCTGGCTGATGACCTCAATGCAAAGCCATTGTCAGAAGGGAAGAGAGACTTGGACAAAGGATCTATGTTAAATGTATGCTCCTTTTTTTGGTCATATTTCTCAGTGAATTCAGGTGTTCTAGGGTAGTGAGCATTAGTTATGAATCACCCAGAGTTTTTCCAGAATTTTTTTTTGGATTTCTGAATGATAAATAGAGAGCTTATACACAGGCCAAAAAATAGAAGTCCAATTTTCTTTAGTATTTTTCCTAAGAAAAAAAAAATCCTGAAAAGAATTGTAACATAGATTTAAAAATTCATAGTATACTTAATTTCAAACAGTTTCTAGTCTTAACTGTCTCCAGATTTTGATTTTAGTTTAATGTTAAAGGAGTGAAATACAATCTCAAGAAAAAGGAAGAGTATTTCAGTTATAAAGTAGTTGCCTATAGTACCATGTAGGAAATGTTTCTGGCCAGGTATTAGCAAATTCATTAATATTCAGGGCTGGTAGCAGCATCATTTTTTTTTAATGCATGTTAATGTCACAATAGCTCCATCTCGTGGTTGACTGAATATTACTTAATTTTCGTTTATATTCTACAGGAAAAGTAAGGTCAAAAACAAAAATAAAAAATATTGGTGAGGGGAGGATATTTTAGATATAATTAATTTAATTACAGTTGTTAGAGTTTTTTTTTTAAAAAGCAGCAGATAACAAAAGCCTGAGTGTTTAGAAGTTGCCTTCAGTAGTTCTAATTTGTCTTATCTAAGTAGATAATTATACCAGGGGGGATGTTTTTGTTAAAATATTATTTTAGAAAATCAAAGAAAAAATCATAAAGGTTATGATTAGCTGGATTACTGGGTTTATGATTCGTACGCATACTGCCAGTTATGATTTGTTCCTGTTTCATACAGGCGCTCAAAAATGCCGCTGCTGATCCGCAATTTAACCTTGAAGTTGCGATCAAAAATGTTGACAAAATGTCCAGTGAGCTGAAGAAACTAAACGGTAATTCTGAGTTCATCACCTAGCTAAACAGCAAGCTGTTTAACACATCCTTTTTAAAGTGGGCATCTGTGAATGGCTTGAGTTCTCATGTCAGACAACTGAGTTTTAATTTTTAATTTAATGAAACAATACAATGGCTCTTTTCTTTGAAAAATTAATGGAATGTAGTAGTCACATAGAAATGGAATCATGTTAGCTAAGCATGGAAAAACTCTGTTAATTAGGAAAGTTATTCCTTTGTAGGAACAATTATAGTCTCCTAATAGAAATACTCCCAGTATGCTAATACCAAAATTTAATTAACCTCCTTGAAGTAAACAAAAGGCAACCATTCAAATTTTTAAAAGTGTTGATAAATGAACATTCAAAAAGTGCTGGAGCTGAATTGTCATTCACTTAGCATCTAACCTTCAATAAATACCATGAAGTTTGTTTTTCTGCCCTTTGTCTTTCAGTGGAAAGCCAGCTACTGCTTTGTGACCTTATTTTGAACTTCAGCCATCCTATGAAGGCCAAAGATTTAAGAGAAGCTGAAGAAAAAACTTGGAATTTGACAGATTAAGTAATAACATTTTCATTAGTGCTGCTTTGGTTTGAACTGTGAAAGGATAGTGAGGTTTCCTGCCATTAGGCTATTGTTATTTTAAACTGAAAATTTGGAGTGGAAAACCACTGTAACTAGGCTATTGATTTCGAGAGTGTTTTTTAAACCCAAATTTCTCAAATTAAGCCCAGTAGGGCTGGAAGGACTGGTAAAGGTTTTTCACTTGTGGTTGTCTCCTTTTCGTTAAACAAAGACATACTGGAACAGTAACAAAAGTTTTTAAATTACCTCACGTCAAGTTATTGCTTCCTTAACTCATTTGTGCTCCGGAAAGTGGGATGAGAATTAGTCAGTAAAGGAGGAACCGCAACTTGCATTTAATCTGTCTTCCTCATTCTAAAAATGTTGCTGAGGAAGGGGGCCAGAGAGCAGATTGCTGCTGGAAAACTGAAAGTACTTTCATTCTAGTTTCTGTAGTGATTTTCTAATGCCCTTAGCAATGAAGGAAAGGAGTTAGTGTTCTGAATACCCTGCCCTGAAACCTTCTTGACCTGAACTTTGAGTAGCCAATATTTTCGTGTAGTTCATTACAATTAATATCCAGTCGTATTTTACTTGTGGACACATTTGAATGTTGAGTTGTGGTTTTATTAACATACAAAATACATTTATTAGAATATTCAAATTGAGATTTATTCTGCTGAAAAAAAAATGCAGTGTTATAATTCATTATGCTGGTTTACATTTTACTTCGTTTTCACTAATGACATGATTTAAAACAATAAAACACATTTCCACAGGAGGTACTGGGTTGTCAGACTTTTCAAGGCAGTGCAAGGGAATAGAATTACAGCCTCCAGCTCATAGAACCAGTGGTAACATGGAGCATGTTGTTCTTAGTTTTAGCATTTCTTTAAACAAACCTACATTATAACTGACTTTTCTTTCACAAGATTAACTGTGAGCTTTTCAAAAATATTGGGCTAGAAACAGGCTTTGTCAGCTGAAGACTTAAACAATTTATTTTATATCTTTTTGTTTGACTCATAAATGCATGGAAGTGAAACTCACTGACTTTCAGTTCCAGCTCCCAGCTAAATATATTAGAAGGGAGGATAATATTTACAAGACGTATATTTAAAGTGAAACTGTTTAGGAAATCTGATTATCTTATCTGAGAAGCTATAGAGATTGCACAGATCTTTTTTGCTTGAATTTTGGGTTGTTTCAAATTATATGCACACAAATGACTTTAAAGGAGAACAAAGTGTGACAAAGTCACACTTGATAATTACCAGACCGAGGTCATGTCAGAAAACAAAGCTTACTGGAAAGCTGAGGCAGAGTGGGATAAATGCCATTTAACAAAGGAGCGGGAAGAGCTCTTGATACAGCATGCTTCAGTGATCCTCTGTTGCAACTGGTATTTCAGAACTGAGAACGTTGCTGTTTTTCTTGAAAGAATACAGTAAAACCAGAAAGAAGTTGCATAAGAGGAACTAAGTCAAGGCTAATAGTGTCTGCTTTCTAAGAGATTTGGGTGTGTGCTGCCAGTTAAGAATCACATGATGATCATCTTGTTGATATGTCTCTGAAAAAAGGTCCTTGCTTAATTGAGAGTCAGAGGGGCACAGCTGCAGAGAGGTCTGTGTTAGGGGAGAAAAGCTTATTTCAGAGTGAGGTTAGAGGATCTGAGGAGATACATAATTCCAGTTTGTGGGCTACGACACACCGTCAGTGAAGCAGCAGTGATCCCACAGAGAGAATGTGGTATCTGTAGGTATTCTCTGTTTCTAGAAAACTGTAAACACAGCCAGACTCATCGCTGAGTAACGCTGACACAGGTCTTGACAGGCAGCTGCATATCCGGGGTTGGGTTTTTTTGTTGCCATTGCTGAAACCCAAGTGTCCTTAAGATCCAGGTTGGAGTCCCAACCTTTTCATAGAAATGGCCACAGTTAGATTTATTGGTAAGTGGTTTGTGGGAAAAGAAATGGGCTTTTATTATGTCGTGTCTGCTCCTCAACTTCGACAAGGTCTGAGTCTATTCTGTATCACTTTAAATAACATCATTGCTGCTGCAGTTCAGATCTGAAAATTAGCTTACTTTTTTTTTTTCTCCAATTAAAGAAGAAACTTGTATTAGTACTTATTTCTGAGGCCTCTTGTTTGGCATGGAAATCATTTCCAGAAGGCATACATATGTTAGAAAATAAAAAATTCTCATGTACTATATGATTAGTGGACAGTAATAAACACATTGTAGGAAAATCAGATTCATAGAGCACTGCGTGTAAGGCATAATTTTTTTTAAAAAACATGTCCTTTTTCTGTAAAATTAAAAGAAATTTTAATGACTTCATGATTTGAGTTTGCTGAAAAAGGAAACATCCTAAAGTCAAAATTTAGTAGGCTTCAATACTACAAGTGATCTTCATGAAGTTCTGATTTAAATATGCCCTGCAGCATATTTTAAAATGCACTGGTTTCTTGAACCTCTGTCTTTTCCATCAATCAGAAGAAGAGGTGTTCTTTGGAAGTAGTCAATTATATCTGCTACAGAAGAAAAATCCTGTGGGATGGAAAAAATGAGAAAGCTATAGCAAAAATATCAGAATTACTAGTAATTAGTAAACCCAGAAGTGGGGATTTTTTTCAGACTCTAAATATATAGCAGTGTTATAAGCTCCAGTCATTACTGGATCAGCTGTTTTTACTGCTGACGTGAGATGTAGCTCAATAGCTGTTAATCTAGTGTGTGTACAACCCACTGCAATGTCTTATCATTAATTTATGCAGCCTTGGCCTGTTTAATCCATGATATTGTCATTCCGCGTGACACGATGGGCGCACGTTCTGCCTCAGGCGGGACAGCAGTCCCTGCGCTGCCCAGGCTGTCTGGTGCCCGGAAATCCAACGCAGCGTGAGTAAAGCAGCAGTCTGGGAGCAAAGCGGTCACACTGGCAGCTATGGATTTGCTTTCAGTTGGGTACTTCCCTTGTCTGGTGTTTAGTGCTAAACAAGCGTTCCCCAACCAGGTACATGGATTTCTAAGAGCTGTATTCTAAGGCTGTCCCTTCATTGCCTCAGTGCAGGAGAGTCAGATTTTGCTTCCAGTAGTAACATGTTCTATCAGGAACAACTCTCAGACAATAAGCAGAATCTCAATGGAGTAAAACAGTTGCCAGGTTAGGAATGAGACAGGAGCTATACCTTAAGGTGAAGGGAAGCAGTGTGAAGAACACACAGTACCTCTTTTCCTTTTAAGCCGGTTCCTAACAAATATATGCGGTCTTCCTCCTGGTAGCGAATCTGGATGTTGTATACCTTATCTCTGTACAGCACCATCAGTACATACGGGTGAGTAGCAGTTTTCCTTGAGCTGTCTCTTACCAAGAATGTTCCGTCCTGAAAGATGAAAAAATGAAAGATAACAAATAGACATGTTTTTTGGGTTTGATCTGCATAATGACATCAGCTAGAGAGCACTCATGCTTCTAAGTGTTGTTCTTTCTGAAATCTCTTCCCTTCTGCCAAGAGAAACTGCACTACCAAAGAGTTTAGGTCATTTCTCAAATATTCTGTCTTTCAATTTTCTACTTAAAACTTTTGTGTCTGATACAAATGCAGGTTTTTAGGGAAGGGAGGAATTGTGTTCTGTGAGGGAGAGTTTCCGTTAAAGGAGGAAGTAAAAGATCAAAGGCCCAACCTCAGGTCACTTCAACCAGAAGAGAAGGTAGTTTCTGGCAGGTGCCAAGCAAAGTTCTTATATGATGAATTACAGTCAGCCTGAAATAATGATAGTGTCTGTGTCATTTTGGTGACAGTAGTGATATTGCCTTGGGCTCTCTCTGTGATTTTCTTCATTCAGATGTTTTAACCAGTGTTCCATTGAAACAGCCTTTCTTAAAGGCATTGAATGTGATCTCAGGCTGGACCTTAGTGAAAGTTGCTGAAATGCCCTTTGCGTCCTCTTCAGCTCATTGCATGTGTTGGGAAGCAACATAGAGTAAACAGATTTCCCACAGGATGCAGTTTTTTTTTCTCAAGATGCACAGATAGGCCTGCGTTTCATCCACCTGAATCTGTACTTCATTTTGCTGGTAAAAATGGCCTAGAAAAGGGTGGGGTTCATCTCATCTTAGGCTATTTGGAACTTGGAATTTGAGACAGATTCCTCAGTGGTGACAGAGAACTGTTTCAAGAGAACAAGTCGCTCCTCTTGTAAGAGGTGAGGTGAAGCTGCTTTCTGGAGACACAGAATTTGTTCTCTTGAAAACAACAGCCTTTGTGGCTGCTTTAGGCCGGATGTGTAGCTTTTGTGTGCTAAAGACAGTCAAGGTGTATCTCTCGTGCCCAGTGTCTGTCTGGGTGCTCTAACCTTACCAGGTTATTTACCTTCACTGTTCCCATATGAGCGCATGGAGGTGTAGCAAGGAGAGGGGGGGATTCACCAACAAATTAAAGAGTACCTTGTTTATTTTTCGAAGAGCTGCTTCTGCTTCTGGCCGGCTAACATAAGCAATGTACCACTCGTTATTTAGTGAGTCCTGGGTTTTTTGTGAGAGAGGATAAAGGAGAAAGTCAGCTGTCAATGAATTAGCTTGTGATGTTATTAACATACAAACAAATAGGGAGAAATTTGAATGTGAGGGATATTTGGGTTCATGTGCAGAATCTCTGAAGGTATGAGCTTCAGGGATCATACTCGTATGTATTACTGTATGGTAAATGGCGCTAAATAATTTTTAGATTATTTGCTTACTTTGAGGAATTTGAAAATATTACAGACCTAGCTATAAAATATCTGCAAGTAAGCTTTTTTGTTTCTAAATATTTTAAGTAAAAGATAGATTTTAAGTGACAGTTTTTTCTGCCTGGGATATTAGCATTCTTTATCATAATTTCTCTGAGGTTTTATTCTTGTTTTTTTTTCTTTTCTATTTTTATAACTATGATCTGAGACAAAAATGCAGACTTCCTATGAACGTACCATGTATGGTTGTCCAACTGTGATATCACCAGGAGTGATTAAAATTGTCACATTTAAAAAAATGTGAAACAAAAATGCACTTAAAGTGGATGAACTCTTTACTCACCAAGGTTTTGTGGAAGGAGAAATGAGTATGTAATGCTAGTTGAAGGCAAATGTGCAAAACAAGTAATCCAGCAAACAAGTATTTTTCTTACTTTGTTCTGCTGGTGTTTTGCTACTGTTGTTTTTCTTGGTGAAGGCAAATAAGGCACAGAAAGTTTGACGCAGAAAAGGAAACTGAAAGCACCTACTAACTTCCTGACAGTGACTACTAACAAGAAACACAGCTAACTTGAAAAACATTCTCTCTCAAACTCAGAAAGTTTGCTGTGCTTAGCAGTTGATACTTTATGTAATGTTTTGTACCTCATCTTCCTCCAGATTTTTTTGGCGAGCAGTCGGTCTGCTAGGAACTGGCAATGGAGGTCTTATGTCAGCTGTGCCTCTTGAAGGAGATCTGCTGTTGTTGCCTTCAGAGGTATAAAAGTAGGAAAGATGTTAAAACCAGGAAAATAATTTAGTATGTGGAGTGCATACAGGGTGTACAGCCATGAAGAATTTATATCACTTTGGTACTGAGCCAATTTGAATTGATTTGAAATAAGATTGAGGCTACTGTTTGAGAAGCAGATTCTTTACATAAATTTTTACAGAAACATCCATAGTGAAAAAAATATTATATTAACTGCACTGAAACTACCTTTCAACCTTCAGTCATTTTCTGTACAAACAATGCAGGAATTTTTTTCTAGATGCAAGCGTGGTGGTAGTGAGCCACTTGAAGACAGGTTTCTAGAACTGTTTAAAAAAAAAATTGTCAATATAAATAGTATAAATACAACATCGTATGCAACATTTCTGTGCTCTGAAGAAGTGAGCTGGACGTTGTTATACGGAATGTGAGATGCTCTTGAGACCAGTGCAGGATGAGGCTAGCCTTCTCTTTCTTCTTCCCGTTTTTCTTCCCTCCTTTTAATGTTAACTTTATTGGATCCTTAGTAATGGGCCATCAAGACTTCTGTATGAAGATCAGTGCAGAAACCTACTTCAGTATGTTGAGTTTTCACGAGTTGAGTTTTCACATGGAATGACTACTTTATTCCCCTAAAGCAGGAAACATAGTCAGTAGCTTGCTAGATTTTTCTCTGTGGAGCTCTGCTTACAGAGTCATTATTTTTCTTGTGACTTCTGTAACATTGTTGATGAAAATGTGGGTTTTCATCATTAAGATTGCAACTATGGATGTGGAGCTACTGGAAAGAGTCCAGTGAAGGCCCACTAATATGGTGACCGACTGGACCATCTCATATAAGGAGAGGCTGAGGGAGCTGGGACTGTTTAGCCTGGAAAAGAGAAGGCTCAGGAGGGATCTTATTAATGCGTATAAATACTTGAAGGCAGAGCCAGACTCTTCTCAGTGGTGCCCACTGACAGGACCAAAGGCAGTGGGCACAAACTGAGACACAGGAGGTTCCCTCTGAACATCAGGAAACCCGCGTTCAAAACTCAAAATGAAGAGATCCAATCTCTTTTTTAAATTTTATTTTTAATTTCATTACCTAATTGGGAACAAACTGCCTGCACGCTTTTCCTTTGCAGTTCATATTCCTCTTCTGGTTAAATGAACTCTACAAAAAGCTCTGCGATGAATATGTTAATTAAGTTTGCAGAACAAAACCATCCTATCATGAGTTGTGATTCATGCGAGAGAATCAGCCAAATGGGGGCCTCTGCTAATAGGAAAATTTGGCAACGCAGTTTGAATATAAGCAGAACTGTTCATCATAGGAATAGTTCATATTTGCATATGACCTTGCTATTGCTACTGCAATATTTGTTCTAGCAGAGTGTCAGCAGTTCCAGAGGATGATGGTAAATGGGACAAATTAATCAAAGAGGCATTAAAAAAAGACAGAGGTTAGAAAATGTGCTTCAGACTTAGACTCAAGGAGCCCACTCTAACTCATCAAAAGCTAAGTCTGTTTCACATTACATCAGAAATATAATTTTAATTAAGGGCTCTTCCATCTAGCAAATGAAGGCATAACAATCTAATGTTTGGAAGTTGAAGCTAGAAAAAATATAGTTGAAGCCAAGGTTCACAATTTTAAATAGAAATTATTAACCATTAGAGTAAAAATTAGTAAAAGGGTGGTGAAATTCTTTCCAATTCAACTCTAGACAACTAAAGTTGTGAGGTTTTTTTAGTTTTGAAGCTATTAGTAGTCACAGGTCTAGCATTTGGGCTCCTAGAGAGTGCAGAATCATTCTGAAGAAGGACTACTTTGACCTACATCCTGCGCAGTTTTGTAGGAGAAAATTATCTCTTCCCAAAAGGGCTGATCATTCTTATGGATCCTGCAGGCAGTGCGAGTGATGCTTCAAGAATGGAAGCATTGTGCCATGTAGACCCTAAAGTGATTCCTTGGCATAAAACTCAGAAATAGGCATTTTTTTCTTGGTTTCCTGTTGCTCACTGTCTGCTTCACTGAGTACAGAGCTTCCATTATATGAAGGATCCGCCTTGATAGTAGGAACACCACAAATTAGCCTGTAGTGGAGGCAAGGGTATAGCCTCAAAAGTAATGGACTGTTTCGAGTAGTTCTTGTGTTCAGCGGAGAACTGTGTAGCCACTGTGTAGTTTGCTAAAATGCAAACAGATTCAATAGGAAAAACACAATAATGGGGGAAACAGACCTTTCTGCACCAGGCATACTGTTGGATCCTGGCTTCGGCGGAGGCTTGATAGATTTGGATGGGAATGTGTTGGAGCTGTACGGGGGCAAGGATAGCTGTGGCACTGGTCTTTGGGGTGCAGCTGTGAAGAGGAAGAGAAGGAAACTTAAAACTTATGTGAGACATTCTTAAATGAGGCAGAATGAAGAAATGCTGTCACATCCCCAGTGTTTAATTAGGTAAGTGTAATGGAGTAAACTCTTCTACAAAAAGTCCTTGGTATGTTACAGATTGTAAACTCATATGGTCGACTGAGAACTTACTTTTAAGAGGTTACCTTTTTGAACTCCATTCTGCTGTGAGATTTCTCCCATATCATCATAAACAACAGCATAAAATAAAACATTTTCTTTCTACAGCGTCCTCAGACCTCAACTACTGGTAAAGAGGGCACAGATAAACTGCGCTGTGCACAGCTTTAACAGCCATCTTTCTGGAGTCTTAGAGGCAGTGCTAATCTGTACAGACCTGGCCAAATGTTCTGCTTGTGTTGTGGCATCGCTTTACCAACTTAATTCCAGGAACCAGGATTCTGAAGTAATTTATAAATACTGTTATTACATGAAATGAGTTCTGCTTCTGCTCGTAAGAGTAAATAACATTACACAGAAGATGAATACCAACAGGGTTTGACTGAACATTTTTTTGAAAACTTGGAGGTTTGCATGCCTAGCATGGAGGCTTGATGCCGTGTGCAGAACACACATCTAAAATGTAATGTGTTTCAGAATAAGAAATCCTGCTGGTTTGTAACCGGCTGACTGAAGGAAGCTATTAGCTATTGATTTCCTGTGTTTTGTAGCTTTGATATATAAATCTGCATGAGCTACTTTGTAAGTATCCCACAACCTGTCAAGATACCACCTGACTTTTGAAATGGCTCTAAAGAAATGACTCTGCAATATTTTATTTTATTTTTAAAACTAAGACAGAGAAGACTTTAAGTTTTAAAAATTACTGTAGAAATACTTACTGTCTTCTTCTTCCTGGGGAGCCAAAAGAAAAATAGATATTAGCAACATACTACAGCATGGTTTTGGGGAATATTTGACAAAAAAAACCCTGAAAGCTGGAGGATTTTGAGTGTACGAGGACTCTGATATCTGTACTGTCTGGGGTTTCTGTCTTCATGCAACACCAAATAATTAAAAAAACTCTTGCGTCAAGGTGCAGCTATTATTACAAATAATAGATGATCTGAAGTAGTGAGAAATTCTCAGCAGATGTAAAGTTCCTCATTCCTTTGGTCAGTAAAGGCTCTCAGAGTTACTGGAAAGTGAAATCAGTAGCTCAGCTTAAACTGAAAAAACCCCAAGACCCCAAAGCCTATCGTAAGCAAAATCACTTCTATGTCAAGAAAACATTCTGGCCTTATTCTTCCTCTTATCTAAGATAAGGGAATAAACTGAGCTTGACATAGAAGAACTGTTTAAAGAGAAAACATGTGCTATGAAATATCCATGAGTATTCATTGTAACTGATAAGAGAAACAATTTTACCTTTTCCAGAATTATTAGTTTATACCAATACTTATTTTAGTGCAGCCCCTGTATCTTTAAATAATTTGAAACTATACTTACTCCATTTTTTGTGTGTGGTGGCCAAACCTGCCTGAAATGAAACACAGAAAACAAAACAAGAATCGTAGGTGGAATATTACTCATTCACTTTGTGTGCATTAGGCCCTATTTTCAAATAAAACATTAATTTGTAGTAAGTTTTATAAACCCAATAAATGCAGAAACATTTTTTCCCCATAAAAATATCCAAGTTTCAGTCATAATCTAAGACATTATGCTACTCCTTGTCAACAAGGAAAACGATGAATTAATTATAAAATTAGAGCTTAAACCAAGTTTTTACAATGATAAAACATTGGACTTATGGTCTTGAACTCATTTATAGTATTTAGCAACATTGCTGGAGCACGTGATAAGCCTTCCAGTCTTTGGTTCTCTGATAAATGATCCTGGCCCATTAGCAGATCTCAATAATTTTCTTATTTTTTTGTAAGATCAGTCACAGTGTTCAGCCCACAGGTTTTCTAAAAAATGCTAGAGAATGGTCTAGTTCTGCAAGAGAATGCTGTTTGCCATTAAGAAGTTTTGCAGGCTAGTAAAATCAAAGGTAGGAAAGTAAAGCTAAATTAAATTTCAATTAAATGGACACTTACTTTACAGGGGTTTGCTTCCTTAGAGGAGGTGGATTGCCTCTTTCGTATCTGTCACTCGGCGGGATGGGAGGTTTTGGCATCATTGCCAGCTGTTCCCCCAGGGCTCTAAAGCAGGAGCAAGATGATGAAATAAAGGCAAAAAGCTGCTTACTAAGAAATAATTGGGCAATACTGGCATCGAGAGTCTCATTTCCAGAGGCAAAATTCTTACCTTAGCTGCAAAGTCAGAGGCTGTAAAACAACAAGGAATAGTTACGACAATGTGTACGTGTATCAGAATAGTTGAGAAACATGAATAAGCACCAAACGAAAAAGGCCTTACCTTTTCAGGAATGCTTGGCTTCCTCCCTGAAAGTAGTCAAAGCTTACATTTAGAAAAAATGACCATTAAGATAATTAATTAAACTTTCTGTGAAATGTGCAAATTTTGAATGTCATTGAAAGCGAACAGTGCAGATTGAAGCACTCAGTCTCCTGAGGTATAAGCCAAAAAGGTATTTCAGCTTTGCAAGAGATAGAATAATTGTGATATCTCCTCTTAAAGGAAAAATTAAAAATTTTCAGGTGGCATGTTTTACATTCATATTTCCTGTGGTTCAACTTCAGATTACTGGGTATTTTTATGCTATAACAGTTGAAACTGCTTAGATAATAGACAAAAATCAAAGAGCACTCTCTTTAGATTCTTTGTAAAATAGATTTTTCAAGTCTGAAACAAATGCCATTTTTTCCCTATGGATCTTCCGTTCTCAGAATTCTTTTAAATAAGGGTGCCAGATTACATACAGCAGTGTACGCTGAGTTGGGTTAGCTTTCTATGCAAAGATCAGCTATTGCACAGGGAATCTCATCATGTATTTCTGTTCAGCTAGTCCTGAGCTGGGGTTGCTACTTTCTAGATACAGTTTCTCTCACTTTATGAGCACTGCTCACGTACCTATTCATAAACAGATCACCTTGTACGTACGTTTGGTTGAGCCTTGTTCTTTTACATGAATAGTATTCAGACCGATAATTGAGGGAGGCGTCCCTGGTGGCAGGGAGGCTGGATTACAATGATCTCTAAGGTCCCTTCCAGCTTAGGCCATTCTATGGTTCTATGATTAAAAAAACCTCCCTGATGTTAGCGTAAGCAAATACCAACCTGATAACGGGCTTTCTCTTTCAAACGGTGGAGCAAGGCGATCCAGTGGCGGTTTTGTGCTTCTGTCTATAGAAGGAGCTGGGGCTAAACACAAAAGCTGTGTAAGATACTTTGCTAATATAGGTCAATATGTCTTTATTTTGCATAGCCTTGAGCTGTGCTACTTTTAGAATAACATGTGAGGCTTCTGTATATCCACCAGAAGTGAGTGGAACTGAGGAAATAAAGGCAGAAGTGAAGTGCTACATAGCCTGCGGGTAAAGCTTTACAGAGAAAACCAGCTGTACTTACGTTTCAAAGGCATGGTATTTCTGTCTCTACTCAAGTCACTGTTGCTTGGTGGAGGAGGAAAAGCTGGCAGCTAAAACAAATGTTTTACATGTGGTTAAAGTTTGTCTTCACCTTGCTGTTTTAATTTTAATATATTAACTACACCACACCACATCTGCCGATCTCTGGTACAGCCCAAGGAATAGGTCTCTGCTCAGCAGAGGCAGGAGAGGAGCCGTTACCACTCCTGAAGAATAACCTACATACATGCTTTTTTGTGAGATGCAGAACTGCCTCCATCTGTTTCATCTCACAAGGAATGCTCTCGGGGGATGTTGCCTTTGGGGAGGACATGAGTACTGTCAAAGGGAAGGAACAAGCTTCAACAGTGCTGTTGTATCTTTGCCACTTCAGTGCAGCAGGTGTTTGTTTTGAGAAGTGGCATTGAAATTTGTGGATGCAAATTTGAAGTTGAGAAATGTGTATTAAGTCTGTGTTACTGACTGTTGCTGACTGAGACAGGGGAGAACGGGCTGTTCTTTGTTACTGGGAGAGTTGGGGTCAGCTGGCATTGTGTTGCCACCAGCTGGAAAAGACGTTTGCGTCTAAACCTGGATTTCTCTGGACAAATGCCTTCCAGGGTTCACTCTTATTATAAAAAACCACAGTAGAGCAGCAATTTATGAGAGCAGTCTTGAGAACTCATGACACCTAAGAGTCCTCTGTGTTTTATATGTATGAACTATGACACTGAGTCAGGCCAAACCTCCCTCTATTGAATTCTAAAATTACCTTTTCCTGTGTTTGTGGGTAGAACTAATGTACTTCTGTTATCGCATGGAGTGAAGCTAGAGCACTGGTTATAAACAGCAAAATAGCTTTCAGTTTTGAAGTATTCACAATACCAAAAAGAGGAAAAAAATCTGGGTCACCAAGGTTTCTCATTATACAGTTCCCTTATACTTTTATGTGGTCTTAGTTCAGTTGGAGAATTCCTAGAAATAGAGCTTGGGAAGACTTAGCCTTTTTTTTTTCTGTTTACAAATAGCACTGAAGAAGCAAGGAGGCATCTATTACAAATCTGTAATTTATATGGAAGAGGCATTCACAAGTGGGTACAAATTTCCAGTATATGAAACAGCCAAGTAATGTGAAATAATTTATTTGTACCATGAAATTTAATTGTTCCATGTAAAAATGGCCACCCTGTAACACAGTTCAGATCTATTTTAATGGCTGAAATTCTTCCTCTACTACACCATCTGAATAAAGATGGCTTTACACTTGGACTTCGAAGGAGTTACTGCCAAAGGAAATAAGTGAAATATATTAAGAAAGAAACGTACAGAAGCACCTCTTCCCCCAAATGAGGCTGGTCCTGGGGACGGGACGGGTCTCTGGGGTGGGACAGGAGGCTGCTGTGATGATCTGGCCGTTGAAGGTCTGTCTAAAGAAAACAATCCCAAACTAAACAATTACACAGAGTTTGGTTATTTTATTCTCATTTGATCTTTGAGAAAAAGCGCCCTTACAATAACCTGTGTGCTTAATACGCCATAAACGTTGTTTAGTGTATAATTTAGTATACATGGGGCAGTTGCTTTGCCGTCCGTGTTGTATTGGGACCTACAGACTCGTCTGTCCCTTTGGTGGTGAGGTGACTCCAGCTGCTGGTCTGTTGGACCACCCTGGATATTCTCATTCACTGCAGAGCAGTGACCGTGGGAACACCAGCCAGCCTCAATGGCAGCTCTGCCCTCCTGTGCTTGACCCCACAACTGCAGGCTGCTGAAGAAGCAGACATTACAAAATGACAAGCAGGGGAAGGTGACCTCTTTCTTTTCCCACCTTTCACTACAGTTTTTGGCCACCGTTGTGACAATTTGGTCTGTTCAAGATCGTACTACTAAAGCTGCTGCAGTATGCATGTGTCTAACCTCATGCAGATTGAAAAGGCCAAAGAATGCACATATCACGCAAAGCTAATCCTTAATCCAACATCTTGTCTGAAGTAGAAAATTTAGCTTTAAAGTTCCAAGGCCACCAACATGCTGTACAGTCTGTGACACTAAATCCTGAGCTACACTGTTGACTTCAAGGCAAAACCTTCTATATTCCATTACCAGCCACTTAAAATGTGGCTGATAATGTGTGAAAATATAATTTAAGAATTATTATCACTTAATTTTTAATAATTACCTATATAATCTGTGTTGTTTGCGAGTGATTTAGCAGGAAATATGACATTGTGGTGTGCTTCATCGTTATTGGATGGAGGCGGCTCATAGCCATCGCTGTCATGTTCTGCTTCCTCGGGTTCTTCTGTCGGTGATTCATAGTCAGCCTCATCTTCATTTTCCTGGTCATCATCAGGGCTTTCATAGTCATCATCTTCGTCCTGGCAAATGTACATAAAAGATAGGGGCTGTCACAGGACACTGAACACTTCAGTGCAATTTCCTTGTGGCTTTTCCCTGGGTATTTCTCACGCTGGAGGATGTAAAATTTTTATAGTTAGTTTGAGTGAAAAAATCCATTGTTGAAATAGAAAGGGGAAAGGAGGCAGCACTTTATTAATGCGTACAGCACTCAACAGCTTATGAAAGGAAATGAATATCCTTTTATAAGAGTAACTGCAGCAGAAGGTCAAGATAAGGTGATAGCTTATTGAAACGCACAGTGCCTTTGTTTTAGGTAACAGACAAGGCATCAGCAAACAATTCAGTGCTTTCTAGAAACACATTGGAGCAGCAGTTGATGCCTGTTGATATTAATTTTTACTTAATAGCATGTACTTTACAGCCTGCAACTCAACTTTTTAAAAAACGCTTCCGAAAAAATGGGGTCTTTGATATGAGTCTTGATGCCCTCCACTGAGCTGAGCAAGAACAGCTTCATGCGGCTTGCAGGACCTGGTAAGATCACAGTGAAAATATGGTAGCGGTCATTGCACGCATCTTCTGTGCGGTCTGCCAAGGCTTACAAGGAAAAGATCATTGTGTGCCTTGTCTGGAAGTTCCAGGCTAGCTCTCTAATGACATAGAGCCCAAGTACTATGAGGAAAGGCTGAGGGATCTGGGGTTGTTTAGTGTAGAGAAGAGGAGATTGAGGGGAGACCTCATCGCTCTGTACAACTACCTGAAGGGAGGTTGTAGAGAGATGAGAGTTGGTCTGTTCTCCCTAGTGGAGAGTGATAGGACGAGGGGAAATGGATTTAAATTGCGCCAGGGGAGGTTTAGGTTAGATATTAGGAAGAATTTCTGTACTGAAAGGGTTGTCAGCCACTGGAACAGGCTGCCCAGGGAGGTGGTTGAGTCACCGTCCCTGGAAGTGTTTAAGAGACACTAGATGTTGCATTGGGGGGACATAGTTTAGTAGGTTGGTAGGGCTGGGACAAAGGCTGGACTTGATGAAGTTCAGGGTCTCTTCCAGCTGAAATTATTCTATAATTCTATGATTTTACTCTGTAGGTGGTTACCTTTGCCTTTTGTGCTCCTGAAACAGCAGCAAATCTGCAAACTCAGTAGCATGTGGTTTTTGAAAGTGCCTCTAGTTTATGCAAAAAAACATTGACACTGGTCAATGTAAGAGCTCTTCATCAAGCCCGACTGTGCATCAGTCAGCTGATTCATTTAACTAGCTGAGTTGCACGTGCTTCAGCTGATGCATTTCTGTGCCAAAAGGCAAAAGGAATTTTGCAGTCTAGTTGGCTTCAAAAAAAAAAGATTTTTCAACAAATTGACTCTAGAGAATAAAAGGGCAAGAATTTGCCATTGAATAACATAGCAACCTTTCCTTTTACTAGCCGCCCCTCTTATGAGCTTGAAGTAGGTATATAAAGTTCAGCTAAGGTTCTGTGGGACCCGGTCACAGGCTGAGAGCTTCTGCTTGAGCCAGTAACACAGGGCGGCCGTGCTGAAGCTCTGCCGTGCATTACTGGGGGAGACCCTTTTCTCAGTGAAGAGATTTGGATGCAGCTGCTCCAATCATTCATGTTCCTGCTTCTCTTTCTTCTCAGCCTAACTCCCCCGGCCACTGCTCACTCCATCTGTGCTGTCCAAAGCAGATAGTGCAAGGAACAACAGACCTTACAGAAGAGGGAATGCATTCAACCAGTAGGTTTTATTCGTTCTGATACTCACAAATGAAGACCATTCACCGTCATCTTGACTGTATCCTGCGTAAAGAAACATAACCACAGGCTTCTTACCGCGTACAACTTTAAACTGTCAAGACGTAACTTGACACAAAGGGTGATTAGTTCTGAACCACAGTTCTGCGTCACAGGAGCAAGGTAGGTCTTTCAAAGGCTGACAGACCAGGGAGCCACGAGAGGTACTGCAAGCAGCGTTCTGGTTCCAAACTAAGAGGATTGCTGTCTTTGTGTGAGATGACATAAGTGTTGTCTCTTCAAGTTTGTGCTGCACTTCTATTTTAAATCTAATTTGGAGCAGAATGCTTTCAGAATGAGCACAGATTTCTTATCTCTTTAATACTGTGTTATCTTTCATATCAAAAGGGTTTTTTAATTTCAGGAGGGCTGAGGGAACATGATAGCTTGCAGAAGTTTTAAATGCTTGTGGCATATTAAGAAAATAATTGAAATAAAAATATAGAACATGGCGGACATCTAGAAGGTCGCCTCTCTAATATGAGTTGCTGCTAGGAGTAGGGGCAGGGGGCCAAGGGGTTGGAACTGAAATGTAAGAGCTTTGATACTATGTATTGGCTTAAAGAAAGGCAGTTTGGGGACGCTTATGTAAATGTCTCTGCTTTTGCCTTTCTTCACCATCTTTTCTATTTTAAAAGTATTTTTTCTTACTTGTTCTCCTCTAACGACTCTTTATTCTTTTTGTCACTTCTTTGTGCTCTCATCTTTTGCTGTTTGTTGTTCTAGGTCATGTCCTCCCCACCCCACCATGTACTCTGGCCTGCAGGGATTAACTTAATATTTCTTAATGTTTTAATATTTTTAACACTTGTTTTTTGTTTTGTTAGAGATGATATGCCAGTACACACTTACCTGGATTCTCAGGACATTTTTGCGATTGGGCCCTACAACAAAGATAAGAAAAAAATAAACTCCTTCCATTTGCAATTCTTAAATGTTTCAGGCATACTGAAATCTATTATGATTAAAGGTAATAGTTAGCTGTAAGAACAGAGTGAAGTTTATACAAATGCGTTTTAACTCTGACCAAAATGCTAAAAGCACACTTCACATTTCACATACAGGATCCTGATGTAAGCTAAACTGTCCTGAAACAAATCCAAGTCAGCGAGCTCGAGTGTTTAGAAACAAGGGGACTCAGTAAATAAACTTATTGAGGTCCCAGTTCTAAAAATAGAAACTTCCTTTATGAGTTCCTTCAAGCTGCTCAAAGTCAAATTCATAAGTATTTGTTGGGTTGATAAATGTTTTTATGGTTTTCAGTTCCAGTTTTGAACTCCATACAGAGATGTAAAATCATGTTTTCAGATGATATAAAGCCATATTACATGGACTAGACTTAGAATTTCATTGTATATGAATATAAATTGTCCTTTTCTCATGGAATATTTTTGCAATTCTTGCTCTTTTTCTATTGCAAGGATATTATATTTGATGATAAATCATAAATTATTAAGAAGTGTAAGGATGTACAGGTCTGTGAAATGAATCAGTGATGTTTTATTAAAGCAATAATATGTGCCTAAGCTTTTATAACCTAAAGATTAATTTACTCAGGTGGAAAATTGTGTGAAATTTATGTTACTTGGTTCTGGATAGGGCAGAAATATCCAGGGTGTTCAGGGGCTCAGGCTTTGCTGTTTTTAACAGATGACATCAGCAAAACAGAGTTTTATTTCATATATTTTCCAGGCTGTCCCTCTCACCCAGGTATTATTGATCAAACGGTCCAGAAAAGATATATTTGAAAGCTTTGACAAAGAAACTGAATTGTTTTACTTACCATTTTGGCAAGAAAGATAGCCTCCCTTCATTTCTGTTTATTTCTTGGCTTAATTTACTTACAATTCTATGTAAAAGAAACATAAAAACAGGTAAAAAAGTCTCCTTGAAGCTTGTTAGTAGTTTTCTTCACTGCTTTCCTTCAGTATTTTCTAAATTCAATCTGGTGATTCAGAATTATTATGTGGTAAGAAAATTGGATTTATCATCTTATTGCAAAGTTGCACCATAGCATATCCAATTGAAAACTAAATTTTATTTTTGACATAGATGAAAACCCATATTGTTGAAGCAAGTTTAAAAATAAACATTAAACCCAGCAAGTCTTAGAAACTTTGGGCATGTTAGACATCATACGCTAGAATCCTGCTTTAAATAATGGTGATTGCATTATCCCTTGCTCTGAAACTGGAGGAAGACAAGCTTTCCAGCAACCTACTATTAAAAAAAAAGAGGCCGACAAAGCCATGTTATTTTTATTTTGAGCCTGAACCATGTTAAAAATCTCTTATTTTGAATATCCCTTCTCTTAGCCTTGCTGCTTTCGTAATACTTACTTTACTGTAATTGAGTTTAAAAGATAAATTCAAGGCATAGTGTAGCTCTGTGTGATTATGGAGAGTGCTGTGGGGGCTGCCAGCAAGTATCAGAGAACAAGCAATTTCGGATCAGTATGGTCATACTGTCCAAAAAGGATGAAGATGGGTAACGTGAAGTTAAGGATATGTGCTGAAGGCTCCAAGTATAAAAATAGAAAGGCAAAGGAAGAATATTTGGGGGATTTTCTTTTTTAAGGCAGCACTTTGCAGTTTTCTGGTTTGAAGCAAATATTGTCATACTTGTCCCTTTTGAAATAAGCGCATGCATAAATGTTAATAATTTAAGAAGGATTACAGCTGGATCTGGCAAATTGTGTAAGGCAAGAAAAATGCGGAGTTATAGCAATGAGGCTCCTCTTGCTCTTTTTCTTTCCCATGCGATCAACACTGCATGAGAAATTTCCTTCTGCTGCAGGTGATAAGGAAGTAGCTGCGTGAATAAGAACTTTCCCATGAAACATCAGGAACCGTTCCGGGGTGAACAGTGCACTGCATAAACCAGTGCTTTGCTTGAGAAGTGGAGTACGGAATGGGTGGTTTATGCTCTGTTGCAGAAGAGGTAGAAGAAGGATATTTCATAATATTGTGTTTATTTTCAGCTAAACAAGTAAAATCAATAGTTTCAGAGCTAATAAATCTTTTAGTTCAGACTTGCGTGAACGAGTCCGGAGTGTTTGGAAGTTTTCAGGCTAAACCTGGGCTGGCTGCTTTGAGGTTTTACACCATTTTTAGAGGAAAAACCAAAAGGAAAAAGTTGCTCCTCTCATCATACTGCCAAAAAAAAATAACTAAAATACAGTGTCTAATCTTTCCTTTGAGTTTAAGCAATGGCTCAGAGATGTTTAATTAGAGGAAAGCAAAGGTGGAATGTTAGCACTTTACAAGCGACGTTGTTACAAAAGGTCGATGCACTGAGCAGCTGAGTCTGTAGCCATGTGAGGAAGGAAGTACCAAACCACACACACTGCTCTCTGAGCTGTGGGAGTGGATGATAGGAGAGGATAAGGCAACAGCACTTGCAGAAAATGTTACTCAGACTTCTCTTTCTACTTCCTCCACCAGACTCTTAGTTTAAAACTGGCAGGAAGTTGAAAATAAGAAAAACCCACACAACCAACCCCCAAGGCAGGACTCCAAAACTGGCTTTTGTTGAGTTAACTGCAGATATTGCTGTCATGAGGACAGTCTATTCTATCTGTACTGGGATCATGAAGATGATGAGAGAGATGGAAGGCAAAGTCCTCTAGGACCAGGATGTTACGTATTGAACCCTGTCATGAGCATAGATTGTGAGGAAGTCTTTGGTTTGGCTTTTGAGAAATGTTTGTTGGGCAGATGCAATACTACTCTGTTGTCTTCAAAACTGACTGTCAGTTACGTTCTAAACCTTTCAACCACCCTTAGCATCTCGTCTGAGAGGACACGTGTGCACACAGATTCACCTCTGCCCAAGGCGTGGCTTTTTACAAAAAGAGGGCAGCCTACGTTTCTTAACTTTCGACCGTCCTGAAAGCACAACTGCCACGCTGTGCCATGTGTGCAGGCTTTGAACGTGGCCCATTCAGAACTCAGCACGCTCACCATGTTTGAAGTGGCAGATGTGATTATGTACTTCAGTGCAACGATGCTCTTTTTTATTACTGGACATTTTCACAGGTACTATGGATATGCCATAAGCATTCTGACCAAGGTTTAGAATTTCAAATCTCAGGGTTGCTCACAACCTGCCACTGAGGATAGCCAGCAACGGCCTGTATTAGTGCCTTGACTTACTGAAAACTTGGAAAGGTTTTCTCCCAAGACAATAAACAATAAAAGTCGCAAAGGCTAACTTCAGTGTTTAGATCACGGTTCAGGTATTGACTGAGCACCAACATTATTTTGAAGGAAATATTTGCTTTTATTGTTCAGTAATTGTAACCACATTAAGTAAAACACAATCTATTGAATGGGCTTTAAAGTATTTTGCAAGACTCGCATTTGTTATCCACAACTACAAACCTTTATGACCTTCTGTGACTGCCAATAGTGATAACGAGCCATAAAACAACCTCCATGTGTCCCTTAAGCTGTATATTGGCCCTTTGTTTTATTAGATTTGTTATCAAAATGTTAATTACACCCTCATGATTAGGTCTGAGTTTCATTTAGTGCTTAAGACAATACTCAATGTCTGCTCTGCATAAAATCTACCATCTCCTTCCCTGTTTCACTAATATACCACTTACTCTCAGGAGAATGCAGTGTGGTGTTTATGAAGCTTCAGGTGAGTATATTAACCTGGTGGTGGTAATAATAACAGAAAATCGTGGAGGTTTGTTATTATTTTCAGGAAATAGCCTACCATACTTTGCAAGGATAACTGTTGCCTACTTAGACACCTAAAGCCTCTTGTAAAAGTCACAGAATCATCTCCAAATAATGACACAGTTATATTCAAATCTTGATCAGTAGCCTTGCTCAGATGTGTATATTTAGTAAAACCACACACCCTGCTCAGGAGGCCTGTGTGGATGCAGGCTGCGGTTTGCAAACCTTGTGTAGCTGCGAGTGCTTTTCTGGGTATAGGTAGATCAGCAGAACCCTGCTAAAGGAGAACAGTCCCTCCTGTGTATGTGCTTTATATTAATTCCACTGGCCAACGCTGTCAGCGTGATGCTCCCTGTTTTTATTAGCATGAGTATGCTCAGATTTTAGCATCAGGTGCTAGAACTGCAATAAGCTAATGTGTGTTTCAGCTTGTAGAAGAACTCTTCCTACCAGGTGAGGTTTGTGTTATGATAGAGAAGTAAGACATGAACGTTTTATATGAGAAGTCACCAGCAAGCAGCTTCTGTTTTGGTGAGAGCGTGGAGATTCTGAAGTGCTGATGTTAATGTTAAAAAAATGACAGTTTCTTCTACCTATGAATTATATTATGCTGGGGTTTTTTGTAGTTTTGTTTTTGTTGTTTTCTTTGAAATAGCAATCTGTTCTCTTTCCTGTTAAAGCTGTAAATTCTTGCTTTAAATAGTAGCATTACATGGAGGGCCTTATATCACACCAACCTTTTTTTCATGTATATTCACAATACTCTAGTGAATTGTTTCTCAGTTTGCAAGTGTATTTCCCAGTTTGCAAGGGCATTAGTTCCAGAACCTTCATTCAGATTTATTAATTTACTTATTTATTCAGTTCAAGTTGTGCACCAAGCTTCACTCTTCTTTTAAAGCTCTTGATTTTAAGTTCTTGTTGAGAAAGAAAAGGCTGTTCACTTTCTGCTAAAGTGTTACAAGGTAAGAGGGCTATGACAATCGAATTTTCAAAATATTTTTGAGATATCAGCAGCTTGGATGAGGAGATAGGAGCCAACTCCATGTTGTTAGATTTCATTTAACTGTTCACCCATGATATTAATATCTCCTGTATGTGTATATCTCCTTTATGTATATTAATTAGACCTTCCACTGACCACTTTTGACTCATGAATTTGGAAGGAAATCACTAAAAGTCATCAAAATTGTAAGTTCAGACAAGGACAACACACAGCAATTTTGCCAAAGGCCTATTAAGGAGGAACAAATTAACAAAGAATTACAAGCACTGCATTTTACAGTATGGTAAATTGGGGTTTTCACTGACAATATGGTCTAACTCTGTTCCTTCAGTCTCAGTAATTATAGTTAAATGTTGCTTTTAATTGCCAGTGAGTTCAAAAATGCTGAAACGTCAGGGCATCTTCTTTTTTTTAGCATTTGAGCCTGCTTACTAACACATCATACACCACCAATCTCTATTACTAGGGAATTTGTTGTGTGAAGATACAGATATCATCTTAAGAAACATACCGTGCCCCAGGCTTTCAAGTTCAAGTCCTTCCATATCTGATAAAAACAGAGGTGTCCTCCTGCCCTCAGTTCTAGCCACCAGCACACCTATGACTGCTTTAGATATAAGGAAGAAATTGCTCACTGTGAGGGTGGTGAGGCACTGGCACAGGTTGCTCAGAGAAGCTGTGGGGGCCCCCTCCCTGGCAGTGTCCAAGGCCAGGCTGGACGGGGCTTGGAGCAACCTGGGCTGGTGGGAGGTGCCCCTGCCCAGCACAGGTGGGGTGGAATGATGTGGTCTTTAAGGTCCCTTCCAGCCCAAACCATTCTATGACTGTGGCAGACCACACAGGTTTTTCAAAATTACTCAGGATTCTTAGCTTTGCCAAAACACCTTACAGAAGCTCTGATGCATCAGAAAAAGCAAAGCAGACTGTATCTCCTGTAGAAAAATCAAGGTATGCACTGGAGGGAGGGAGTCTGGCACTGAGAAATGAGCAAAAAACCAGCCACATTGGAACAACTTGAGTTCGGTTTTTTTTTCCCTCCTTACTTTGTTTAGAAGACTGTGAGGAACTCCAGGTGTCTCCTGGTTAGGAACCTTCTAACTTACAGCTTAAATATGTACCAGAGATCTCATAGCAAAATAAATTCCTTCAGTTTTCACCAAGAAATGTTGGAAGCAGGTAATTTTTCTGTTAGCTGGCATTAATGAAATCATTGTTCTTCATATAGTAACTTCTATGAAATTATGAAAGCTATTCAGGGAAATTAAAAACTTTCTCAAAGCCTAATCAGGAGCTCCACAAGAGAAAGCTATTTAACACTGAATCAAATGTTCCAGACTGATCTATCTTTGACACTGACCTGAAGGAAAAATGTACAATGAAAATCACTTGAACTCTTCAACTTTTATGCATGTACCTGATGGTTTTTTTCCTTTCGAGTCAACAGTGAAGAGTTAAATCGTACTTTGAAGGTAATACTCGCAAAAACGTTTAACCTCTGTGTGGCTACTGTCAGTCAAAGAATTTATGGGTGAGTTCTTTTGACGCTCCCCTCACAATTTTTATTTGATTGTATCATTGTGCTTGAGCAGTCATGACAACACTCCTTTTAACTAATCACATGCAGATCATTTGCCTGATATTTCCTCTGAGTTTTCACTGCAGGAATCCTAAGATAATTTTTACTGTTAAATTGGTTTGGCTTTACTTACGGCACTCTGAGTTTGGGAAATTTCTGAATATCATTTTCAGACATGTTCTGAAAAGGAAACACATGGTATATATCACAAAAATCGTTCATGGAACAGCCGGCAACTTATAGAAAGTTGCATATTCAAAAATGTCACATGAAGTTTCAACACAGGAGTTTAAAGTGCGTAGAAAAGCAATGCAAGATGAAAGCCTGCCCATCCCATGGCTCACAAGGGAAGTGAAGCCATTTTCATAAATACTCTCTCTGTATTTTGTCTGTTTTTCGGGATGTTGGTGTTTATGTTGCTGCCAGTTGTATTAAGCTAACTCGGAAGTTAATAAACATTGTGCATTTATTTCCACACTAAGGACTTCAAGAAAATAATCACATATAACTTCAAAGAGAAATATTTCTGTAGCTCCGTTTTAGTGATAGCTGGTTAAAAAGATGTATAAGGAGAAGTAAAATCTTAAACCAGCTCTTGCCAGATGAGAGTTGGCTAAATTTGTCTACCAGCAGATGAGCCAATCTTCTGGGATTAACTTCAAATTAATGGGACTCTGTGAAAAGTTAAAGTAATTTGCTTTGTTTATTTTGGTTTTTACTGGGTTCTTTATGTGTGTTATATTGTCCCATTGACTTACAGACAAGGTTAAAATTCATCCCTGCTCTGCTTCGCAAAAGAACTGGAAATAAAACCCTCTTTTGGGACAGCTTTCTCCCTAGAGATTGTCAGAGATACTTCAGCTAAAGCAGGTAAACAGACAGTAAACCAAAATATTCCAGAACTATTTTAAAGTCTTTTTTTTTTCTTTTCTTCCTCTTGCTTTCTGGATATTGCTTTTCATTGTACATTGCTGTCATCTAGCATACAGGATAAAATATCCTTTATATCCTGATTATTAAAGAAGTCTTGAGATACTATAAATCATCTCAGTGGACAGCATCAAACAGTTAATAGAGGGCTACATTCTGGTAACACCCTGCCTTACCCTATCAGAAGATAACATGAGCTCAACAAAACGTGCATTTTTTAAAAGGCTGTTCCTGATTGGGAAGGCAAGTTTTTACCATAGATTCTGATTTTGTGCTATTTTGCTTCACATCTTTTTAGCACAGCTAAAAAAATATGGTATTTAAGTGACTTCAGCAGCTAGATGTATTGAATTCCTGCATGTCTGCTTAGTGAAATCAGGCAAAGTTGGGCATGACTGCAAAGTTCAGGGTAGAACTGAAAGTTTTAAAATAGAGCACCATGTTCTGGAGTTTTGTGCTAAGAACCTTTTCTGTCGTATCACATGTTCTAGTGAAGATGTAACTGAAAAATTCCTTGAATTTAAGAGCAGCCTTATCAGCTTAACAAAGATAGAAATGGGTTGGAGAGTTCCCCTTTCAACCCTAACTATAGCAATGAGATTGTGGATTGCTCGTGGCCTGAGCTGAGATGTGCTAAATCTTGAGAGCTTTACTGAGGCTCCTGCAGAGAGTCAGCCCCTCTCTTCTTCCCTCATGCACAGCTCTAAGTTTAGGATAGTTTAGTGCATTATAAAAACTTTTGAGAAAGTGGTTTGTTTACTTAATCGCAAGCTTTGCAAGCTCTCTTTGGAACATGGATGACAGTTTCTTTCTGTGTTTCTTACTGTCAGCAATAAGTTTCTCATTACATGTTGGCTCACAACGCTATCAATGATTTTCAGGACAGAACAAATCCTGTCTGTGTTTTCCAGCACTGTTTTGCTCTGGGAGTACACACAGGCATAAAACACGTAAAAAAATCTAGTCCCTGCAGGATTTACTGAAGAAATGTAATTTTTTTCTAAAGACTTTTTAAACTTCTCTCTGGAATTCTCCTCTGGAGATAAACCTGACAAATATCATATGTTTAAACTCTTCCAAAGGGCCATGTTTCTATTTTAAATGCTGGAGAATTTTATTAGAATAAGTTACATGGAATCCCTCTGGTTTTATTCCCGCTACATCTCAACTGGGCTTTCCTTGTGGTAGCCAGTAGATAGAGAAACATGACTTTGAAACTCGAATGTTATTCTGATGACTAAGACAGTGATGTTTTTACAGTCAGGTTTACCGTATCGATCTGTCAATAGATACAAAACCTGCAACCAGTCTTAACAGTTTCTTCTGTGCAAATGTTTTGTCAGTTTCCAATAATTTACGAAATGTGAAAAGGTATTTCTCAGAAAAACCATTCATATAGAGAAGCGATTATTTTTTTCAAGATTGCATTGTACTCAAATATTCCATGTAACATCTCCTTTTGCTGTTCTGTTTAAGAGATGAACTCTTTTTGTGTCATACAGTTGACAAGTAGGTCAAGAGCTTAAAAAACAAAGTCTCAGCAGGCAAGAGCTGCTGCTTGCTTACTTAATAGAAAAACATTCTTTGAATCTGCTGGGATGCTTCTGAAGAAGTGTTGCACTCTGAGCTATGTCTGTACAGAAACACTCTGTAAGTAATAAATAATTATAAAAATCTCTTTAGAATTATACTGTTACTGCTTTTCCTATTTGTACCTCACAAACTTCCAAAATTTTGTAATGTTTCCAGAGCCAGAATTCCCATTCCAGCCACAGATCTTTAGTGCTGAGACTAAGGAGAATCTCTCTGGGGTTAGTAGGATAGATCCTGTGACACACATCTGAATAATTCTGACTCCACCCAGTAGGAGAGAGGTGTAATGTCTTGTTCCTTGTTCAAAAACTTTCATGTCACGTTTCAATGAAATGTCAGAAAGCTTGATAAATGTAGTAAGGACAATTAAAAAAAAAAAAAAGAAGGCTTTAGAAGAGGTATGCATAGTTTTCCCCACTAGACATAATTATACAGATGATCAAAATTACTACTTTTGGGGAAAACAGAATAGTTAATACTTGGAAATAAAGCAAAATGCAGTAATAATAAAAGCTCTTACACATCTTTATAGATGTGTATTTAAGACCTGAAAACAACAGCTATGTCAATGGAGGTTTTCATCTTTTCTAAAGTTACAGGGGAAAAAAAAAGTTCAGCCAAGTTCAGCCAAATTGTTGGTAGAGCTTGGAGTAATGTTGATTCAAACCTGCTGGGAATTTGCTCTCTAGTTTTGGTGCTATTAAACTTCTCTGATTTTTGTATATTGCTAGAGAAGAAATCTAATTTTAGCTACAGAGGCATGAAAAAGTGATTACAGTAGGCCAGTCATCTGAACCATGCCTATGTCGTCTTTAGTAGGAGAGGACAACTAATAAATGGGAGTTTTTTGAAGTTAGTATATGAAAACAAGCACTTCCTATAAAGGAAGAGATTAATTCAAGACAAGATTGTGGTTTTATAACTCCTCTGTCAGTTTAAAATATACTAAAATATGCATATTAAACAACATGCTTGGGTTCCCAGCACTCCACATTTAAAGTGAGGTGTCTGGCTGATTTTAGCAAAGGCATTTACTTCTCTGTGAGCTGAGTACTGTGCGTCTGCCAACGCAAAATAAGGAGGAGTTAAAACAACCACTTGACTGGAACTTTATAGGAAGGGTTTTTACAACTCTACTTACCAAAAACCTCTGTCCATTTATGCTGTGTTTTCTCACGACTTTCTCACAGTCCTTATACTTTAACTGTCAATGACAAGAAGTTCAATTTTGCACTCAATTTTAACAATGGATTAAGACACTTAGGCAGACAGCTTTGAGGAGGTGCTTCAAGTTACCAACCTTTTCTATGCTAAAGCCTGTCTAAATGGCTCAATTTTTTGTGTAAACATGGAAGTTTAAGACAAAGATTCTTCAGTGGACTTGACAATTTTCATTCATTATAAACATGTAATTCCTCACATTTAAAAACCACCTCATGGCTGCCTGGCCCAAAGAAATATTTGGAAAATGGATGGTTGTGGTGCTGCCTGGGATGAACAATTGTGGAAAATGGGAAGCAAAAACCTTAGCATCTTGGAATAGTAAAGCCACAATCCCAGTTACTGAATTCATTGATGTGACCGAAAAGCTTCCTCATCTGGATGGAAATGTCACTTGTAAATCTGGGAAATTCAAAAGCTCTCCCACAACATTAAGTCTTACAGTATTATCTAGGACAAGAGAATGCATTTTAGAAGTTGACAATATACATAAGAAATGAAAGATCATGGTCCTACCAGGCAAAAAATTAGAATTAATTTGGGGGACTTAGGGAAAAAACACAAAAACCCAAACCCCAAAATAGGCCCATTTAGCAATATAGGACTCTTAAATACCTCCAGTGAGTGACTTAAGATTGTTTTTTGTGGGAGGGGTTTTTTGTGTTTTATTTTATTTGAACAGTAATACCATAATTTGAGAGCACAGCTTATATTTCTGATCTGTCTAGTGTGCATTTTCTCTGTTTCAAGTTAATCAAGTCCACACCAGAACGAACCCAAAGACAAAGTGTCTTTTTGGAGCCTGCAAGACAAAAGAAAGGTTCCAGTCCTGCCTGAAACTGTACTCAGTGAAAGTTATGCAGAAAAATGATCCTGTGCTGCTGGGAGAATTCCCCTAATGCAGCAAACACCTTACAGGGAGCATTATGTCCTTTCTTAGTTCTATCCTATTTCCTCATTTTGAGAAGTAGTCTTGTAACTTGGTGCTATATGAGAACTGATCCTGAAAACGTCTGAAAAGCTGAAAGAATATTTTTAGGAGCCACTTTCAGCTATTCATATGGAGAAATAGCCCTAACTCTGCTAAACATTTTAGGATACAGATTGAGACTTTTGTGCAGACTGAGGACTTAAACCTATAAATGATGTCTCTCTCATATCGTGAGTGCTATCACGACATTACCAGCAGAAGTCTGTACACAGCAGTGAGCAACATGGTAGAACACATCAGTGTGACTGAGATCTAATCTCATTTTTAAAGTAGTTGATGAAAAATACTGTTTAGCTAGTAAAAGTATCCCTCGGGATATTACAAATAGGAATGTCTTTTTCTAAACAAAATTAAAGAAACTCTTTAGAAATTATTTGAAAGTTTGTCATTCCTATTTTGAATGCATTGTTTAAATTAACATAGGCTTAAAGTTAACACATCTAGAATTATAAATTAAATGTTATTACTGATAAGTATCAAGACTTCTCATCTGACAGAAGCTGAGGACATTATTCATGCCAGCAATACCCTATAATATTGTTACATCAATTACTGAAGTCTGTGCTGGCTGAATTTTGCTACCATGAAGGTGTAAGCTAAGGGTGAATTGACTAAAATCTTGCTGCTGCCCTGTGTCCAGACCAGTTACTTTAGGGGAGAGAAGATTTTAATGTTTGTCCTTTAAAACTCATCCCACAATTATTTCAGTTTAGGAGGAAAAAAAAAAAAAGCCTTATCCCACTTGAATTTCAATCCTGGACTGACTGGAGGCAAAAATATATTAGTGAGGTGCAAAGAAAGCATTCCTAAGGTATAACAATTCCCCCTCGAATGGTAGGTGTGAGGGAAATCGTGTGAGTTTATCTGGGGAGAAGATCTCATCACTTAGGGCAGTTGGCCAGACCCGGCTGACTTGGGCTGTTGTTACTGTCTTACAAGGATTTCTTAGATGACTTTAAGGAGCTTTTGCCCTGATTCACCTCCTTAAAAGCAGAATGCCAAGATTATCTCTATCCTGGGGGTATGTGGATCAGAGGAGAGGTAGTCAAAAATTAATGTAACGGGGCCCATTCAGTTATGACAGAACTTACAGTTAATCCTTTTTTCATGGTTAAGAATCTCATTATCAACCCCCTTCTTAGTCTCTTGGAAATGATGATCTAAACCACCCTGCACCAATGTTCTAATGTTTTTCGTATTTGCCTGAAGTCGCCTGTTGATATCTCATTGGTTCCATCTCTAATTCTCCATTTCCCTTTCCTGTGTCACTAACTCCTGCACCCTAAAATTAGAGGTTTGCAGGTAGCCGGCAGTTTCACTACTGTGGAGGTTTGGTAGACATAGTGTTTGATCTGCTTGTCCTGAGTAGCTAGGTTTGCGTTCTAGTGTCAAGCTTGCTTCAACCCCCCCAAATAAAATTCTCATAGTGTTATGGGAGCCATTGAGACAACATTTCACATGATTTCAAAATGAAGCCCAGGTTGTTCCAGGAGTTTTAAGTCTAGTCTGACAGCTCACTTGAAACTTAACCAGCTATGCTGCACATCTTCCCAAATCTTCTGATTGATCTGAATGTTAAATTCCAGGCTGTTAGTTTTGGACTTTGGGAGGAATGGGTTCAGTTGCAAGGGAGATAGAGCAGGCAGTATCTCTGGCGTGAATTGAAAAACAAACCCACAGAAATGAAATTTCAGTAAAATTGGCACAGTTACACATTCCTGGGCAATTGCAAAGGTGCCAGCATTGCTGTGCAGAGGAAATATATTGGCAGTGAATTCCTGTATTGCCTTGTGAAGTATTTATTCAGTGTGAAAACTCCTCTGCATTGTAAAATGAAATAGATCATCACAAGTGGGAAAGATGTCAAAAGAAACAGAAGTTCCCAACTAGACACACAAGGTAACAGCAGAAAAAGTAATAGAGACGGGAAAAAGCTCTCCCCTAGACTGCCAAAAAAGTTTTAGAATAGGGAAGTCAAACCAAAGGCAAAAGGTTTTTCCAACCAAGCCTAAAATAAATTAGGAATGTGTGTATCCACAGCTGTTAAGTTCCTAGCTGGGTTTTTATGAATTTTTAGGCATTCAGAGGCTCATTTGTGAACACTGAGCAATTTGAAAAAAAAAAAAAATCTCACTTCTGGTATTCAGGAAGACCTAGAAAATTTGTGATCTTCACAAGTTAATGCCTTCTAGAGCTGTTATGATATGATATATCAACAAGTACTGTAGTAGAGTGTCTATTTTCTCTGAAAACCACATGAATTTCTATTGTAGCCAATTTAAAACACACTTTCAAGATTCATTTATAGATTTCACTGACTGGCCAGTTTAGCTCAGCTTCTTAATTGTCAGTGGTTTTGCTTTTAGTTTTGCAGCGGGCGTTGCCCTTTATTAAAAATACATAAATTTAGCACAAACAACATTACACTAGTTTGCTCCTCCATCATACAAAGGTGAAAAGCTGTTAAACTTACCGTCCTAAAATATTCTGCTAAGTCATCTGGGTTCCACGTAACAACGTCTGAGCGGTAGGGAATGTTTCGCAAATCCATTGTGAGTTTTTTCCTCTGAGCAGTTAGAGAGCGTTCATAGCAGTCCTGTCAGTGAGCCAGCCATCTACTCCCTGCGTGTGAGCACCCCCAGCGTGCCCTGCAATTCCTTGCCTAAAAGGCAGCTTCTTCTCTTTAAGACCTGTGGATTTCTTTTAATTGAGAACTATGTTGTTAGGACACCCGAGAGAGCTACTGCTTCCTCTAATACAAAATGGTCTCTTCTCAGAAAGTTGTCAGCTCGTCAGCCTTACCACTTCCTTTGAATATAAATAAGTAAACAAGGAAGCACGGCGAAGTGTTGAAAATGTTCTGCCTGCTACATGTAAGTAAGCTCCCATAGAATATACTTGCTTGTAATTGCATACATAAATATTTACGTAGTCACCCGCTCCATACAGTGCAGTAATACTGGCATGTTATCCGTACAGACGTTGATTACTGCTGCTGAGCCAGACTAGCCCAGGCAGGCCTCCCTCCAAAGAAGAAACCGTTCACTTAAGAGCAACTCCTTCAACCAGTTTCTCACAGTACCATGACGGGAAGAAGCCTGTGCTGTCATTTCCATTTGTTCATTCTACTGCAGAATTTCATTACCTCCTTATCTAATTTCTATCTCAAATCCAGCATAACAGCTCTAATTTCAATTGTGTTAATCCTTTGTACTAATGTAAAACTAATTAGTCTGGTCAAAATTTATGGTGATGTTGTTGGAGAATAATCATAGCATCATTTATTCTGATGCTGAGAGAGGAGAAAAGCAATCATCTTTAAAGTCAATCTACTCTAGAGAAGAACTAACATGGAAATTCCGACACATTTATCTAATCATTATTATTTGCTTTGATCCTGTCTGTGTCACCATGAGTACATTACAGCTACATGTCTTTTTCATGGATTTTTGCAAAACCCAGCTGCACAAAGACTTGCTCTTTGTCTTTGTCTAGAACTTCTTTTATAATGTGATATAGGATGTGGTGGCCGAGGGAGGCTTGCTGAGGAAATATCCCTTTGTATTTTCTACATTTCAGATGCACTGCTAGATTTAGGTAACAATTTGAGGTTGCATTTCCAACCTATGTGTGTATTTGAACATGTCAATGGAAATATTGTTCAACTCACAAATAACCATGCATGAGTCCCGGCCCCGATCCCAACCAGCCTGCAGAGGGTTGTTTTGCAAGACTGCATTTAAATGCCTTTCTTTATAGCTGAGAAATGCAATGTGGCAAATCCTGCATTCCACAAAAGGAAAATGTTGATCCTGGAAGAAGGACTCCCCACGTTGCTTTTTCATGCTTCCAAGCGTTCTTCTGTTCACTCTTCCCATATTTTCCCACTTGTTTGTTATATGTCTTTCTTCAGAGTCGCTGCTGTTACCTCCAGAGTTAGCGCTTTCTCCCAGGTGCTCCTGCTGCCTCCAGCACCCTCTGCTCAGAGAGGCAATTTCAACACTGATGGTCACCTGGAAAGGAAGTGGAGAGAGAAAAAGTTGAATGCCCACATGCCAGAATCTCAGTGGATTGCAATGTCAGATTTTGGCAGCAGTGTGAGGGAGGATGACCGGGAAGCAACCACATCTGATTTTTATGGAGGAAGACAGAATGACTGCAGGGACAGATGTGGTGTTGTTCTGGTGACTGACATTTGAAAATGTGAGAGCCTAACCATTTTATACAACACGGGGGGAAATTCGCACTGCCCACATTCTGCTGCCTTCAAAGAGTGTCAGTATTTTCCATTTTCTCTCACCTCTTTCTGGTGATGTTCTGTCCTGCAGCATCTTGTTGTAAGTGGAGTCAAGGGCTTACTCTGAACAGCTTTGAGAACAGCTTATTTGTCTAGAGTAACTTAGTTCAGACCTCATAAGACTTTCATCTTCATGTTCATCGCATTCCCAAAGCAAACTGGATATTTATGACAGGTTTTTCTTTTGTCTTGCACAATTTTATTATTTAAAAAATCAAGTACTTTCTTCCTTTTACCCTGGGAATATTACCATTGACAGCCTATATTTCTTCTTTTAACATTGCATGCCTTATTCCCAGACTGTGTACTTATCTATAGCACATGGGAAAAATGCTTTCATTTTTAAACCCTTTAAAAATCACTGTGGTATTGTTAGATGTTCCTAGCTGTCTTTAATAATCACTCACCCACACTTCCTGCTCCTCAAGTGTCCTTATCCATTATTTCCTTAACTCTTGTCGTATTAAGCTTGACTTTGCTGTGTCTGTGCATTAATACAAGATCCAAACCTGAGTCTTTGCCAACTTAAAAAAGCTCTTTTGTAGGAATCGAAGTACGGGTCTTCCTCACCACCTGGTGGCTAAGTCGCAGAGCAACACCAAACCCTGCCTGATTGCTGCTGTTCCCAAGAACGCGGTGGAAGCTGCATTGCTGAGCCTGCACAGCTTCGGTCGTACAGCGAGCCCTTGGGTAATATATGTGTGCCCCTTCAGTGGGACTAGCAGTCGAAGGGGATACTAACCAACTCGCGGGCATGTGAGTATATGGTTTGATTAAAACTGCGTCTGAGATAACAGCTTCAAATCCAATTTTTTTTAAAAAATTAAACTCTGTGTACTCTTTCTGAATGCAACCTGCAGCAATGATTTCTTTTTCTTGGATAGAAAAAAAAAAGTGTATACTTGAATATTTTCCATATTTTCCTTTGGCAATGTATTGTGTCACTTTGAGTAGGTGGAAATAAGAAGTTTAGGCAATTCCAACACGCCTGAAATCCTAGAATACAGCCACTAGAGTGCAGCTGAACTCTATTCAGAAAACACAGGGAGTCAAATACCTATTAAGGTATAGTTAGAGATAGTCTGGCAAGAGTACTTTATTTTTTCAGGTATGTAGTTTGTTCCACTCTGTTAGGGTTGTAAGCGGCATAATATGTCTAGTTTTTCCAGAGATGCTGCAGACAAATGCAGAAGAGAAGACAGAGGAGAAGACCTTAGAAAAAATATTTGCCGAGGAAAGACTGAAAGAAAATGTTTTGCTTAGCCTGGGAAAAGGAAGTTAGAAACAAGGGAAGGAAAAAGGAGACAAATGTAGTGACTTTGGGTGATAGCACTCGGTTGTTCTTGTGACTTTTGAAAGGCTCTGCTAACAAGAAAAGCAGCTGCAAGCTTGAAAAGAAGCTGGTGCAGATTGAAGAACTCTCCTGCCCGGTATTTGGACTGTTCAGTGCAGTTCAACGGCTCAATTCGTAAAGTGCCAGGCAGTGCCAGCTGTGCCGTGGCGCAAAAGGAAACGAAGTGAGCCTAAAGGACAGCTGGGAAGTTTTGCCTATGGTATTCTGTTTTAATACAGGGTCCTCCAGTCACAGAACTCCACCAGCACACACGTGGGTTTTGTAATTGAATTTGTAAGTTTGAGAGAGACACGAGTTATTTCAGGTGAAGATGAGGAAAGTTAGAAGGGTTTGTTGTGTTTGGGGTTTTTTTTGTGTGTTTTCTCCTTTCCCTGAAATAATCTGCTGCTTTAAATCCTTTTGAGTCCATGTTTGTGAGCAGACTAATCCTGCCTTTTGCACAGTGCTGAACGTAACTGCTGGGGTGCACTTGAGGTTATTTAACTTCTTTACTATGAAACAGCACCTGCTAATGGCATATGACTGTAATAAATCAGGGTATCCCAAGTTGTTCCCAGCTTGTTAAGGGACTCTGACTGAGCAGTAGCCTCCACTGGTGCTTTGAAAGGAGCTTCCAGGAGCACAAATGCAAGAGGAGATCTGGGCGAAGCTGCCGGGGGCTGTGCCCTGCTCACCTGCGGCCGGGGAGCGGGTGTCCCTAGATGGCGCCGAAGCCCCAGCTATTCCCGGCCACGGCTTCTGTAGGAGCCTTTCCATGTGCTTTGCCTTTTTTTTTTTTTTTTTAATTGGGGAGGGGAGAGAGGGGTTACGTGTTTATTTAAAAAAAAAAAAAAAGTTCCTTTCCAGTAAAGACAACAGCAACAAAAAAAAAAAATTGGCTTTTCAGCAAAGTTTTTTTAAATGGTGATATGTCAATTTTATCCAACTATTCTGAAAGCTAAGTATATGATGATTGTTTTAGCCCATTTTGTTACTATTGACACCAATCAACAGTTTATTAGCTCGAACATTCAGATTGAACCTCTTTTTATTTAGACAAACAGTCTTCTTAACCTAACTAAAACTAACTCGATAGAACTTGCAGTTTCCAGTGCTTTCAGCTCAGACCTGTACTGGTTAACAACAGCAAATCTTGGTCATCGCACCCATAACAAGGAAGGCTTCACACCTCAATAAATAAGAAATCAATTGCTGTTAAATTCAAAGCTGAAATCTGAAGTGAGTGTTGCAATTGCAGAGCATCTTGTCCATACGCAAGTTCAGAACTGGATGCTGATTTGACTATATTTAAAATTCTTGAAATATTTAAGCAGCCTACTGAACAAGGAGAAAACCATGAGTGACTCTGCAATGCTGAGAAAAAGAATCAAGGTTCAACAGCCAATGTACTGGTATGTGTTCACCTCAGCCCTTCATGGGAATGGGTTTTGCCAATTCTGAATGTTTTTGAAAGGGAATTTCATGCCAGATCAGAAAATGTTACTTGTATGAGGCCATTTTGATGACAATAATGATACTTCAGCTTAGTTACACTTCAACCCAGCGCTGCTCTTGGCACTTTCCTTTATTGCTGCAGTGTTCCTTAGCAGACAGAGCAAGAAGCTGGGACTCAGAAGAAATGTGTAGCATTCTCATCTTTACAGCACAGACTTATTCTTGCAGGCAGAGAAGACACCATCTCATAAATACCAGAACACTTCCTCTATAGATTTCCTGAGGGCTTCTGAACCAGTAGTTTACGTGCATTTGACCAGCATAGTCTGGAGGCAAAAATGTGTAGGAGAGAAAAAATAGCTGCTGCTAACCAGCAGTCTTGGGTGTAGTTTTGGTTTTAGTGTGAGGTTTATTTTCAATATTTGTATTCCTCACTATGACTGGCTCAGAGTTTCCAAGGAGCTGA